AAATATCTCCAACAGTCACATTTCTTAAACCTTTTTAATTTGATACTTGAATATATAATAAGTTATTTATTTTATTAATTAAATTTAGTTAAATTTCCAAACAGGTGGCAACCCTCCTCAAACATATTTTCGGCTGTAAGCCTTCTTAAAAATATAAAGTTTGATACTCATATTGCAATATTTCATTTATTTTATCAATTTAACTGAGCTAAAATTTTCAAATAGGTGGTAATCCTCCTCAAAAATATTTCGAAGTCATCTTTTCTAGGCCTCTTTAATTTGATGCCTATAATGTAATAGGCCATTCAATTTTTCTTTAAATTTAGTTGAATTTTCAAACAGGTGGCGACCCTCAAACATATTTTCGGCTGTAAGCCTTCTTAAAACTCTTTAGTTTGACATCCACATGGGAAATAATTCATTTACTTTATCAATCTAACAGAGTTAAAATTTTAATAGGTGGCAACCCTCCTCAAAACTATTTACAGCATATACCTTTCTTTAACCTATTTAATTTTATACCCACATGCCAATATTTCGTTTATTTTAACAATTTTCAAATAGGTGGCAATCCTTTTCAAAAATATCTCCAACAGTTATTTTTCTGAAACCTCTTTAATTTGATACCCATATTGTAATAATTCATTTATTTCATCAATATAATTGGGTTTAAAAATTTAAAATAGGTGGCAATCCTCCTTATTTTTGAGATATCATTGCTTCCGGTGTTATACCGAACAATATAAAAAAAAAAAAACATATTCAAATCGGTTTAGCCGTCCTCGAGTTTTGATGACCTGACATACGAACACAACATTTTTATATATATCGAGGAACAAGATATACATAGAAGATGTCCAATGTGTGCTTTCGATTTTAATCTTTGACCACAACAAAAGCTCCAAATTTTACATTCGTGAATGAACTTTCAATTTCTCGATTACTTTTACAATTCCTTTGAGTGATTGAAAAAAATAAAGTACTCTTACAATTCCAGGTAATGGAATTGAAAAAAAATAATTACATTTTCAAATTCTTTCAAAGGAATTGGAAAAAAATACATTACTAGCACGTAGTTTATTCCAATTACGATAATTCCTTCCTTGTAATGGAACTAAAAAAAAACAATTACATTTTAAATTACTTCAAGGAATTGAGAAAGTAATCGATCCTTTGCTGTGGACTGAAGGAATTGATTCCTAATTACAATTCCTTGTAATTTGTAATTGGGAGTAATTTAATTCCTAAAGGAATCATTACGACCCAGCTCTGATCGTCACTGCACACGAATAAAGGCGCGCTAGTGTTTTGACGGCGAAAAAAGGCGCGTAAAAAAAATTTTGCGAAATAGATGCTTATGAAAAACTTCGGCGAAGTATGTTAAGACTCTTTGACGCTGAAGTTTTTTTATGCGTCTTTTTCCGCCGTCATCTTTTGAGCTCGCGCCTTTATTCGTGTCTGGTGACGATATGTAGGTGCGGTAATGCCAGACTATTTTTTTAACGACAATTTTTTGAGCAATTAACCGGGGAAAATTAAAGGTATATTTCGTTTCGATAACACATATTTTTAGTCAATAATGCGGGGAAATCAATTAACCGGATTCAACTATACGGGTAAATTTACTTGTATTTTGTATGCAATATTTTTTGACCGAGAAGGTGGTTCAAAAAAGCGGGAAAATCAATTAACCGGGGGTCAATTAAGCGGGGCATACTGTATTCAAATTATTTCTAAATCTAAGTTTTCAAAGCCATAGCAAAATATATTCCCCAAAACATTTGCTGAAGTTCAAGTCCTTGGATAGAAAAATAACTTAATCGTTTCGCTAGTTGTGGGGACGATAATTTAAAAATTTAAGAGACTGTTTTGGAAAGCGACCATGCGTATTTTTTCGAATCAAACAACGTACAGCAGGAACACAGGCGTTTATGTATATAAGAACTTTATTTCAAGTGTGGAATTTTTCCACTGTTCTTATATGGCTTCTGCCTACAAATTAAGTTCCCTGTCTTTATTATGGTAGTAGCCGTTTTAACGTTCACTGCGAGTAGTTGTAAAAATCTTATGCGTGGCTAATATTGCACCTAGTGGAATAGCTATTGTGTATTGTCGTTGTTATATGTATGTATTTATGATTCTTTTAATATGCTAAGCACAGACAGCTTGGATAAAATCATAGTTTCTCTCTTCTTCTTCATCGCTTTGCTGTTCTTTCACTTTTTATATGTGTAAACATGTGCATGAGCTAAAGGGATGAAAAATAATGTTTCACCTTTTAAGGGACAAGTATTTCCGTTACGAGTCCCTTACATGAATTACAAATTCCGAAAACATGAGTGGTTGCGAATTCGGCCAATAATTACATAGAATACAATTTTTATTTTTGGAACTAAAAGAGTATGAATCGAATGTACTTTATCAGGGTTATGGATTCATTCGTAAATTTCAACAATCACCTCCATTCACGCTCGAGATATATTGCATGTAAATGTACTTTCAAAATTATTAGTGGTATTCGCGCTTCTGTGTATTCGCTGTATCCTGTGTAAGTGTAACTGGACGAGCACCCTGCAGTCAAGCTCCAAACTAGTCAGGAAAAATACTAGTTTACAACTAGAATTTCCGGATTGACGCCGAATTAGTTGTACCAAGTACAAAACGATTTATTCATGCCCGGTTTTATTTGACTTCGACAATAAAGTACACAAAATATTATAACTTTTATTTGGGAATATTGTTAACCATTAAAGCGAGTACGTATTCAATTATACCAGACCTCTTAAATAATGATTAATATTCAATTGATTAATAACACAGGTCTGCAAAAAAATGGGTTCGGAATGTTCTATAAAAGTGTAGTGTCATTTCCGAAGTAATTTTTTGCGTAGAATCCGAATCCGGGGTTTAAATTGCTCTATCACGTCAGGACTTTGAGATATCCTAACCTAAAAGTGCAAAAAACGCTGTTTTTGCCCATTTTTGAGGTTATGTAGCTACGAAGATTTTGCTCTTCATAAAAAAGTAG